GCTCTACATTAGAAATCTACGGAAGTTAGCAATACGGTTGTAGCGAGGCGCAAACTACTGCGTAATTAACTAATTTAAAAAAAAAAAAAAAAAAAAAAACGTGAATATTTAGAGATAAAAGAAAAGAAGAACAAAGCAGAGCAAAGTGATAGCTTCCTTCAGAACTATACGAATACCCGAATGGTCCGTCAATGCGAATTATGTAAATTAACTATTATAACTACAAATTATATAAATTATGTAAATAATTGCATGCAAAGTAATGAAGACCAGCTAGTATAATTACTGAGACATGTTTAAAAAATAATTACAAGCAATTCCAACCTATAAATTGATACAAAATGACCCACGCAATGCTTTTATGCATCTCGTGGGTCGAAATGACATCGACGAAGTCTATGACTGACTGAGCGAACGATACGATCGTTACCCATATTATTCTGCCGTTTCTTTGTGGTGATCTATATACCGAGGTTGGATATTTTGACTCGCTTGTGAGGCCGCGTCGGGGTCGAGTATACTGGCACTAACCATCAGCCGACATCTCACCCTTCTCAAAACGAGCGAGCCCCATACGGCAGCCCTGATCAACCAGCAGTAGTATACATCTCACTTACTGCAGTTACAGCAGCGTTGCCGGTTCGCATTGGGCCGACAGCGACATTATTGGAAAAGCATTAACCGCTATCGTTGGCCGGAAAAGTGTATAGGCGCCATGCACAGCCCGTTGTCCCACGTCATGAGAACACAGCCCGGTGGGACAGCAGATGAACAAAAAATAACTATTTTACTTTGGTGCCGTTGATGTTCACGCAATTACTGGCCTATGGCTAGCTATAGTTAGCTAGGTTAGAGTGATCAGAAATTTGCTGATGATACGTCTCTCCCCTGACTCGGGCGATTATGGCCTGCCACGCCTTTCGCTTCCATCGCTGAGCAAGTCAAGTAGCTCCGGGAGGGCGGTAGCCGTACGAACAACAACAGCACAAGCAACAGTGATGGGCGGACCATTCAGCTACGCTTCATCTATCCTCAATACCGCAAGACCTGGCACTGCCTTTTCCCTCTTGCTATAGCAGACAGCGCAGCTTGTAACCAGATGCACTGATTGGGCTGTTCTACTAATCTGTTTTGTTTAGATAACGTACAACGGATTTAACCATTGTCTATAAAATCATTTAAAGCTGCAATAATGCAACGTCAATCTCGCGAGGCAGCTCAAAGACCCCACTGCCGTATGTTGCAGGTTCAAGAACCTAAGTTATATCGATTACTTATTTATTTATTCTTTAACTCAGTGTAAAGTACTATCGCCTACACTGCTTGTCAGTAATCTTTAAAAAAATATCGATAAAATGTATATATGCCACAACGACAACTAGCGAGTACTTCCGGGATATATCCAACAGCCAAAAAAACTATTCGATGTTTCTCATCTATCTGAAATATTTAGCATAAATCTAATGAGTCACGGGGACGAAGTTCATTTCAGCGCAAAAGGCAAAAAATATTTTGACGTAAGTATTATCTACATATCGCTGTTCAACGCTAAATTGGCTGGAAAGCTGTTAACACACTGCCACCTCAAAAATAACAACCAGATAGTTCTGCAGCGAAGTCATTGACTATCAACAGGTGTAATTGTAACACGAGTAAAAATGAAGTAGGTTGTTTTCGTCCTTAGTTCCTAAGTGACACACAACGGTACATCAGATAATGATTGTAGACTAGGCGAAACATTCAAATGGACACAATCATAAATAATTTTAATGGAACTCGAGCGTTTAGCTTGGCAGCTCTCAATCACCGTTAACATGACGAAATTTAGCTCATTACGAGTTTTTAGGTTATGAAAATGAAAGGCTGCACCCTCTAGCATGTATCTGTAGCGATCTGTAGCAACCCTCTGTAGCAATGTATATATTAAAAAACATTTGAGAGCACCTTTATTCTGAAGTTTCGCTCGTGCATGATAATGCTTTCTGATGGTATATACTTATACCACCACGACGTGGTACGGTGCTTCGACTATATATCCTTATTGCCTCACTGTTGTCTTGTATTTCAGCCTTAACGGCTATTTTATCCAGAGTGCTAGGCACATGTGCCTCAGTAGGTTTCACTTCCAACTAAACGTCGTGGGGTAGTTTCCTTCGTTAGTGCCCCCGGATGTCTTTAACCGATTATTTGAGTATGAACTAAAATAAAGTAGACCCATTATAATGTTTTGCTACTCTGCTTGAGTAACGATTAAAGGTTGTTAGCTAAATCAAAACGTATGTTTTCACTATTTGCTAGAAGTTGCTTGGATTGTATGTCCAGTTAAGTATGTGCGGTGTCCTAAAGGGTCCGTTTGCTTGTCCAAAACATGCCTAAGCGTACCAATAAGTGCCAACTTCACCTTGTGACAAAAAGAATCGGTGCCACTTAAGATATGCAAATCTGAGCAGGACTAATTGCCAAATCGTAAAGACATATGAATATACCGACCTATTTCTGTGAATCCTATGGTACGACAGAGGTGCATCCCACCAAAATTGAGGTCTAGTTATATATTCGTGACTCAGGTATTAATACTTCGCACAACTGAAGGTTGCCTATCCGATTTCGTATAGGCTTATTGAAACCCCCATAAAATTATAACATTAATATACGCGCATCAGCCTTCGCGCAAGCACAAGGGGCGTGTGGGTTGCGGAAGTATATGCAAGGCCTTAATGGAACTCGCCATTGCAGTCGCTAATTCAGAAGCAGCTGATCGAAAATAACAGGTGCATTGAATCGGATACGTCCCGCGTCAAATGAGCGTGTCGAGCACGGTGGTGCGGAAGCTTCAGTATCATGGATGCTTGTAGCAATGTGTAGTACGTATGTATGTATGCATAAACGTATAATAAGTCTTTTGACGGGAGGTATACTTCGATCGACGCTATTCGTTCTCGTTGAAGCTGTTACGCCTCACAGTTGAAAAGATGGCAAAGGCAGACAAGCGTAAAATACACCTTTCAAGTAATTCTCTATATGTGCGTGTATGTGCACCACCAGACACATCGATAATAGTAATAATGAACTACCCAAAGAAGAAAAAACCATTGAGAACCGAATGGTATAATCGCAGAGTGTGTTGTGTTCCTTTTTATAGATTATCAAGTTTTGCTATCTTATATAAATAAAATAAACACTCTTATATAACTACCCACAATTGATTTCACGGAAACCTTATAAATACCCTATCCATGATATTGTTCCCTTTGCGCGGTCCAGTCTATACTCATAATTATCATAATGTTTCTTTTAATTATAATATTTTATCTTGTTCTACAGTCATTGCATTTTTAAGGCTAATACGGGTTTCTGCCTTGCAGGCTATGGAACATGATTGCATTTCTGAAAATAGTTTAATATACTTTACTTTCATCACAATCATTTTCCATATATATATATATATATATATATATATATAACTCTACGGACACATCTACAGTGTTAAATATTTCTGGACGAGAAGCTTGCCAGCTAATTTCGGTTCTCATGAAGTTATCTCACTGTTATATATGTTGTTATCTTAATTATGTTTTTTTATCACAATTCTTGTTGTGCTACAATTGCAGACTATAGTGTTGTCCGCATATAGCTCCCAAGCCGACCGTAGCCTTAAAAAACTGTTAATTGTAGCTTCAAGATCACCTGATAGATTGATCTCTGGTCAAGTGAGGATAGCCACTACCACTCACGCCGTATGATCCTATGAAGCTTAAAACAAAAAAGCACGCAACCGTTAGCGGTTAACGGACGCTTTATACAACCCAGTCCAATTCTGGCCCATTGTTGCTCAACGCATAGATATTAGCCACGGCGACATACGATGTTAAAGCCCCATTTTTTTTTTTTTTCGGTCTCTAGCAGTGGAACCCGTCGTAAGGCAGAGATTTACACAGCCCAAAACGTCGTTAGTGGCGTCGGGTCGATTTCGTGTAATCTGAACTTGTCTGTCACTCAATAAATATGCAAGGCTCCGTTAGTATAGCGATGCCCAGTCTAAATCTGCTAGCTGACTATCGGCGAAAACCATTTTCACAAATTCACAAGAAAACACAACATGCCATGCTCCAGTGCAGTTAAATGATATTGTTTTCAGTCGAATTTTGCACAAGCTAGGTTCATCAGTTAACAGACGAGCTAAGTGGGCTGGCCGAGAAACACCTCAGTCCTTTAGGCTTCTGAACCTTTTCCCCTGACGTGTACTCCAACTGGTACATATCCCTGAGATGGAAAAACTCACCTAAGTAGCTGGGGCTGGTCAATAATATGACCATTCGTACAGCTATGTTGCAGATCATACTTGTAATAACGGTAGACTAGATTTTTCCATCGAAATGTGCCCAAGCCTATATGCGAAGATTTCAAAGATTCTGGGTTAATTTCGTTGGCACGCTCGTAACTGCATGTCAGTTTAATAAGGTTAACGTTAGAACAATTAACTGAATCAAAAAAATTAAACTTGAAGGCTAAAATAGATTACTGGGAAATTTCAAAATGTAGATAACTTTCAAAATGAAAGGAATATTGATTCTGTCTATTATTTTAATTGGTCCGTAAGCCAGACTTTGCCCCTCTTTTTACACAGGGGGTCATAGTTCTAATATTTAAGATGCTCCATTTTGAAGAGATTTAAAAGAAGTTCGTATTCGAAGGTTTTAGGTACGCCATTTCGACCCTAATGGAATTCATTTTGCTAAACGGGTTTGAAGACGGTTCCTTAAATGCCCATACGCCAAACGATTCTAATAGCACTTTGAGTCCGGCCCACTGTTAGCAATATTTACGCTTAGTGTCTCCATGTGAAACCTAGTACTGGATAACGTCGACAAAGGCCAAGTTTATTGTCTACTTTTTAGGCCCTGCAATATTATCTACTAAAAAAAAGGAACACCGTGGAAGCTCATCTACGACTGTCCGAATTTATTCACAAATGTACACGTTATCAATTCCAAGCCAAATTACCAGCCGTGTCCGTAGGCAGGGGCAGCAAGGGCAACCGGGGCCTTAGCAATAACGGGAGCGGCAGCGTAGGCCACAGGGGCGGCGGCAACAATGGGAGCCTTGGCAACTATAGGAGCAGCATAGGCACGGCTCTCATAACGCACAGAAGTTGCAATCGGGGCTTTGGCAACAACAGGGGCGGCATAGGCTACGGGAGCAGCAGCCACTACTGGAGCCTTAGCAACGATGGGAGCGGCACCGTAGGCAGCATAAGGGGCGGCAGCGACCGGAGCGGCAATAGCTGGAGCGGCGTATCCTCCGTAGAGGCCACCAGCGTGGGCGGCGCCAACCATAGCAATGACAGCAAGGACGGTGAACATTTTTATTCAACGTTATATTTTTCTGTCTGTTCAACGAGACTTGACTCTGAAATTCATATAGCTGGCTTATATATGAATCTCGTTGGCCACCGCCTGACCAGCTTGCTAGCCGGAAATCGTACGTACCAGAAAGTCAGCGGGGGCTATGGATGGATGGCAAGAGCTACCGCGTCATCGCACACCGCTTGTGTATTCAACGAACAAGATGACGAAGCTTTCGTTGAATGAATCGGTAAATTTCTGCCGTCCGCCATTAAGTCATGCTGCTGTCGTTCATGTTGTGCTCAACATAAATATGTATATATATAATTGTATTTGATGAATAATTGCGTATGTGTACACTTTTAAAACTAGCCAGTATTACATGTGTTTGTAATTTATCGATGGATGTCTGTGGATGACGGCGTCCGGGACGGTAGTTTTCTACATGATTTTGGCTTCTATGGACGATTGTTTTATGATAGTCTTGAACTTAGTCCAACACGTTTGCACATGGCACCACTCCATATGCTTTGAAGGCGCTTATTTTTATTAACTGTTTAATAACTGTAAAATACGCTTTGCACAAAGAATAAATATTCAAAATTTCGGTAAAAAACAGTCAAAGTTTAGGTAAAACCTACAGAGAAAGAAAAAATACCGAAGCTGCTATGACATTTAGGTCTAGATTTACCTTACCGAGTGGCGACCTTTTAGTTATATTTGTTTGGTACTGATTTTCATATAAGTAGCGTAATATAAGTCTTATATAGCCAAGCCTGGAAACCGCGACGGTTAACCTGCGAACCAAAAACCTACTCTATCAAAATGATGATTACAAATGTAATATATAGCATAGGTTTTTCTCTACACGGTTTTATTTGGGTTTA